GAGAAAATGCCTTACAGCTGGATCTCATGAAGGCATTTCCTCAACTGAAGTTCCTTCCTCTTTGATGACTCTAGCTTGCATCAAGTTGACACACAATATCATCCAATATACATGTGGGTATGTATATAGATATGCATATGTATATAGATGTGTGTATGTATAGGTTTGTGTGTAAAAGTATGTGTGTGTAAATGTGTGTGTATAGAAGTGTGTATATATAGGTGTGTATGTATATATGTGTGTATGTGTATGTATAAATGTATATACAGTATTATATATGTATATATGCATGTATGTATATATAACATTGTATATATGTGTGTGTATATATATCATCTTTGTAAAATTTTTATAAATTCTTTAATGTTCTGCTATAATCTATAGACATTTATTTGCCATATTAACTAAAGACATTTTGGTTGCTGTAAAAGACTATTTAGTCTTATCTTTCCAATTTTCTAATTTTCCAATTGCAATAATCAAAATTTATTTCTAATTAAAAGTGGGGTTTCAGCTGGGCGATGGTGGCGCAAGCCTTTAATCCCAGCACTCAGGAGGCAGAGGCAGGTGGATCTCTGTGAGTTCGAGGCCGGTCTGAACCGACAGCCTCCAGTACAATACAGAGAAACCCTGACTTAAAAAAACAAAAAGTGGTGTTTGTGTGTGTCAGGCAGAACTCAAATTGCATTATATAGCTGGTCAGTGGGAGAAACTTAGATACTTTTAGAAACTGCTTTGAAATTGTGCTGGGGACATTTAATTCTGACTTCAGGTACCAAATTTTTTGATGTCTTTTAACTATTGGGAAACAAACCTCTCATCAAATCACTATGCATTTTCTCAAAATGTCTCTTCTGGCTGTAAGGTTTGCATTTACATAGAAAATCAATAGCCTCCTCTGATTGACCCAGGGACAGCCACCACCATTGTTAGACATGGTGAAACGTCTCCTGATCCTGCCGCTGGTTTACTGACCCCTTCCCACAGCTGGCTTCCAAATTTAAAAAAACTGATGGCATGAACTAAAATAGTTTCCACATTTGAAACTCACGTGCATACTTCATTTTAATCACAGGATAGCTTCTAAGATGACTAAAGCACCAAGTAAATCCAAGTGCTGGCCAGCTATTTCATGTCATCATCATTGTTAAGTTGCACCATCCTCATAAAGTATTCAACAAATAGATGATCGTGTTACCTGGGTGGAGAGGAAGAGAACCTTGAACAGAGTGAATCTATTGACATGGAGTGGATTGGTGACTGTTGCTGTGTCTCATACACTCACCTGGTGACTTCAGCAACTATGGAAGGTAGTTTTACCCAACAGTAATGCTGCGGTTAAGTAGGAAATAATTTTCTTTTTCTTTTCTTTGTTGGGGGCACAGGGTTTCCTTTGTGTGGCTTTGTAGATCAGGCTCACCTCGAACTCAGAGATCCACTTTCCCCTACTTCCCCAGTGCTGGGATTAAAGGCGTGTGCCACCACCGCCTGGCTTGAAAATAATTTTCATGAAGATGATTGATTTAAATAAATAAACTGAACTACAAATAAACAAAATGTAAAAACTTTATTTGTTCTTCAGTCCCATTAGCTTGACACTCCCAGAGGGCACCAATAGAGTGCCAGTGAAAGATAATTTGAAGAGAGACGGGCAGAACGAAGATGAAGAAGAGAAGGTGAGTTCTTTGCTTGAACTATTAGGAGTAGTTAAACTAAAACAAATGTCTTTACTCAGATATTCATTTAGGGCAGGCCTGGGAAAAGAGTGCAATCACAATCTAAGATAATTGTCGACAATAGTTAAATGATTCATAAAACAGGAAGAGATAATTCATAGCATCAACATATTGATCCTGCCTATTTTTCCACAGAGAAAGAGAAAAGCATGTATTTTAGACCCATATGAAAGCTACTGGGGCTCAGTTCGTGCTATTTTCTCCCCAGTACAGTGGCCGTTAAGTGTCAGGAACCTCGATAAATAACTGCATTAAATAAATGCCCTTATTTCCATTTGCTAGTTGAAGTTCCTTAGCATTTGTACAAGTTGATAACCTCTAAATTTAAGCAACATTTTAAGTACATACAAAAATCAACCTGCCATTTTTAATTTATAGTGGAGGAGAAAAGACTATAAAAATAAATTCTAGAGTAAGCTAAGAAATCTGATATCAACTCTTGCATACCACACTATAACTGCAAGCCAATCAGATAACATTCTCAAACACCATTATCTTGAACTATTTATTGCTACAAAATCAAATCATCACTTGCTTTTTTTTTTTTGCTTTTATCATTTTTTATGGCTTTGTTAAAGAAGAAGTGAGAAGAGATTCTAAACCTCTGGGGAGTTTTTGTTGTTGCTGTTTTGATTTTTTATAATTAGAAGTATTCTAATTTGGATTGAGACTTAAAAACAAAATCTTGATAGTATTATATGCAGCTGGTGACTTCATTCATACATGAGAACCTCCACAGCATGCAAGATGCAAGAAAAGAAGAGGGTGATGAGTTCCTCTGAGGACTGAAAAGGATCACCTTGTTTTGGTTTTGGTGGCCATTTTCAGTTATCATCTGTGGCCAAGGATGTGATTACGGCTCACCTCAAGGAGCTGACTCACTAGACACCTTACTTTGGTGACTAAAGCCTCAGCTCCGTCTAACTTTATGAGGACCTTAGATCCTCTAAAGGCTTTATAAGGGACCTAGGACAGGAGCAGTTCACTTCATCTATTTAGTGAAGAAGCAACGGTGGATGTCAGATGACCAGCTCACATCATGGAATCAAAAGGACAGAGGCTTAAAGAATGGAAGTATCTTCCTCTGAGTTTAACCCGTTTTCCTTTGGACTCTGTTTATTGCAAAGTGCCATATTGATAGAGTCTTCTGGGACAGGAATATAAAATTCCCTACAGGAGAAGGATAAAGTAACATTAAAGATGTCGAAAAAGGTCATAAGAAATAATACTACTAACTACCAAAAACTGTAATACACATAAGCCTGTGCATAAATATGCATATATAGTTTAAATGACATTTTCTCATCTGAATTGACAATGATGCCTTCAAGAGCCAAAGACCACCTAACAAAGAGTCCAACACCTGAGAGGCCCTTGGTTGCCCTTCTGAAGTGGAAAAGCAAGTTCTTATTGCTGAAGACACCATGCACTTCAGACACAAAGACCAGAGGCCCCTGGGCAGGATATGACCTGCATGCCTTATTCCTGAGGACTAGCTTGCATGGTACCAGAAATCGCCTTGTAAGCGTCCAAGGAGGGAAACAACCAACAGTCCTGCACCAGCTATGATGCTTATGGACCACAATGACCAGCACAGTATGACAGCCCAAAAGATGCAGTAGCGGCACAATGCATGACAGTAATCAACAGCTCTCTAATTGGACTTAAGACACACTCGACAAGAGAGAAATCATGTCTGGTCCTAGAAACCTATCCAGCTATACAGGGCTAGGGAAGTCATGAATCTTGGAGGAGACTCTACGACCACCACTTCACTAAACAAGCATAATCCCCAATTGCATTCTAAATATTTGTCCTTATACTTACACATAAGTGAGGACCTCACCTCATCAAAGAAACTTCTCTTTGCAAGAGATAGAGGAGACCATTACAGAAAACCAATCCAAAGGCAGATATACTTACATATGCATGTATAGAAAGAGAGATGCATATATATATATATGTGATAATAATTTGAAAGAGAGCAAGAAGTGATATATGGAGGGTTTGGATGGGGAAGGAGAAAATCACATCATTATAACCTCAAAAAGAAAAGAAAAAATTCCCATCAGAAGTTTAAAAAAGTTGAGAAGAAAATGTGAACTTGGGCATCAGTGGAGGACAAGCTGAATTGCTTATAGTCTTCTGACAGGGTGAAAACCCCACCTCAGAAAGAGAAAACCCTGATAATTCCATTACTGACAGCATTTGGGGACTTTTAAAGCACTTAACGATATAGGAAGGCAAGGAAAACATGAATGACCCGGATGAGACAGGTTCACTTAATGAATCTGGACAGGCTGCATTTCCTCCAAGCATTCCATTAGCCATGTTTTGTCCCTTGGCTTATGTAAAAATATCGTATTATATAAGTGCCTGAGTTTGGACATGCAGATAATTAAAATAGAGGTTTAATGACCATTTGGCTTTACAAAGTTATGACATTTCCTATACAAAGTCAAGAGCTTATTTCCTCTCTAATTCATTTGATAACTTGCCTGGATGGTAATATGAGTTGCGTGTTTTAAGATATTATTTGTTTAGCCTAGGGGTAATGTAAATTCTAAAATGTAAAAGCTACAACTCTAACGATCTGTATAATAACACCCTGTATTTATCCAGAGCCAACTAATGCCCTTTCTGTTTTGTGTTCTCTGTACTTTTGACTAGAGCATTGGGGAAAAATATTCTAAGACGAGACCTCCAACGAGCGATTTTATGTACACAATATCTGCTCCCAGATCCGTCCAAGTGTCTTTTTCCCTGCACACAGCCAAATTCATCCTGTACACTCACCATTGGAAAAGACTTTTCTATTTTACATTTTCTTAATTCTAATTAAACAAATCTTAATCTTGACTTTAATGGCCACAATTATGATACTTCATTATGGTAAATGTTAGTTGCAACATAAGAATAAATTGTATAAACAGTTTAGCTGCAGTCGCATGGCGTCTGAGTGTACATTACTCATTAACAAGATGTGGGTAGCAGCAATTATAACATTTCCTCCTAATGTCCCCATTTATTGAGTCACAGCAGCAAGCCCCCTTTCACATAGCTCTCTGATTGACGATAGAGCTTTTGTGCTGGTAGTAAAACAGGCGCTGTAACCCGCTGTGTGCCTCCAACTCAGATCGATGCAAGTACACATTAGCTCTTAGCCTCACAGGCCGGAGTTCTTGAAGGTCAAAATAGCCATCAGCATCACTGTAGGGTATAAAAATCATTTCACAAACTGTGAACAAAAACAACACAACTTGCTTTGCAGTGTGATTATTGTTTATAGATACAGCAAGCCAAGAATTAAAGCATAGCCTTGGGGCAGCACAATTATTTACAGCTGAAGACTCATATCGTTATTAGCATGCTCCTAATTGCTTGAAGTTATATCAATGTTAGTTGATTTAACACATTTTTTATAACACGCATGGAAATTGGGCCCTCTGCATATGGAGTGTCAGTTTAACTGGTAGATGGTTCTTTAATTTATCAAAGTTCTTTTTTTTTCCTTCTAATTATTCTGTTTTGAAGGAGGATTTTCCCTCAGCTAGAAGAAGGGAGAGTTGAATCTGGCCTTTAGATTATATACTGTCTTTTAACACTAACAACACCATGATTGTTTTGTTTCCTTTTTTATTAAAAATGAGTCCATAAATGCACAAGAGTATCTTCAGTTAAAAAAAATGAATCAAGATTTCTTCCGTGTGTCTTGGCTTCATCTTATTCCCCATGTACCGATCTTGAATTTTTGTTCAACATTAAGAACATGACCATGAAGAAAATCGAGGGCTTTAGCCATGCCAAGTTGAGGTTTCCATCTTATGATCAATAATCCATTGGGCCCTTTAAATCCATGTTAGGGAAATAAAGCTGCATAAATGCTGCAGTATAGATGGGAACTGACAGTGGTGTGGGGGAAGAAAAAGGAAAGGGGGAACTTTGGGAATTGCAAGGCCAAAATGAATATGAATTCTTACTCTTTTCATAATGCTTGTTACCTGGAAAATATGTCTCCTCCTCCTTCTCCTCCTCTTCCTCCTCCTTCTGTAGTTTCTTTTCTACCTACAGGTGCTGACACTTCTACTCTCACCTGAAAACAGATGGGATCCTACTAAGGGCCAGACCTAAAGGCTTTAGAGACCAGAAAAGAATTTTCTAGAACCCAGCACAGTTTCTACTATGCACCATGTCTAAGGAAAATTCATTCCTGATACATTAGGCTAAGTGTTTACATTGAAAACAAAAGTTAGATGCAGCTGGGAAATGAAGAAACTAATTCCACAACAAACTTAGACAGAGTGAAGACATAAAATATAGAACTCCCAAAGAACAGCAATCCCCAGCATCAGACTCCTCCCTCTACAGAAAGACTGACAAGTCCCAATAAACTGTAGGCTTAAACCCAACCCCACCACTGATTGATTTCTTTCTCATTTCCTTTCACAATGTATGGTCCTCCACGATATTATGATAAGAGGACTGAGAAAATATAAATGTTTATAAAAATGCTTCCCAAAGGGAAATATCAATTTAATGGCTAATGTATGTTTTCACAAAATTGATCACCAGATTTGCAGATAGCAAAGTCTCTGAGCCTATCTGAGACAATCACTAATGGAGCTTATTGTTTACAGGTATGTGAAAACAAATCCCACTGGCCCTGATCTCAGTCACAGAGGTTCCCCCCGAGATCTTATGAAATTTAAGCTGCAATTGTCAACCTATTAGAAGTCACCACATTACTTAACACTTGTGATCTTATCAAAGAGACATCTGGTAGAAATCTTTTCTGTGGTTCGTGAACAATTCTGTTTCATCAAAGCGAATAACGTGTTAACCATTCTCTATACTTTATGGAGGACATAGAAGACTTTTAAGTTGTATCTTAGATTAATTTGTTGTAGACTGCCTTGCAACAAATTACAGATTCTGGTGAGTTGTTTCTGGAAGCTCAACCCGCTGCAATTCCAGTGTCCTTTGCACACCATCTTGTGAAAATGGAAAGAAGGTGAGAGGTAGAGAGGTTGGAAAAGTCATTGTCACCATGGCTAACATAGAATGGAAGAGCTGTTCCCTCCACAGAGTGAGTAGGAGAGGCTAAATTAGGCACAAAGGTAATTTTACACTGAGGTTTTATAAGTTCACCTTGTTTTATATATAATTGATAATAGTTTTGTTTTGCCTATATTACAGAAGATAGAAGCAATCAAAATGAATAAGACGGAGAAAACCATGTGGGGCAGATTAACTCGTTTTAAATCTGGTGTTTTTCACTAAAACACGTAAGAATCTTGTCAGACACTGGCTGACTCCCCTCTTGCACTTCCATAACTTATGAACTTCACCTTCCTACTGGGATTCTTTTTAGGACCACGTTCCACGGGGTGAATTACAGATCTCAACTTTCACCTCCAGATTTGGGTAAAGCAATTGCTTTTCCTGTACCACTGGCTGGAGTTGATTCCTATTGGGTGCAAACACAGGCATTTGTTCTCATGATGCAATAATAAGATGAAGTTTCCTAACTTCATCATTCACAAGGCTTCGTTCCTCCACATAAACAGTGAGTAAGGAGAACATCACTCTAGGAACTCCAGTTGTTCAATTGTTAGCACCCAAGGATAAAAAGAGGCCCATCTTCCAGAGGTGCCTTAGGTGCAAACACAAATTTACCTGTGGTGAAATAAATGTTTACTTTTTAAACGGTCAGAAGAACTCTCCTCAGTTTCTGGCTGCCATGTATTCAGGGTTCTGCTCCTCTTCCCCAGCCTCTCTGCTCCTCCCTCTCAGCTCCCTTTTCAGGACCCTTGAGTCCAGGGCAGGGGGGTGGGGGCAGGGCCGCTGAGCAGGGTGGGAACAAGTCTGGAGATCTCACAGGTTACCACATCTGCTGGGCAGATAACATCTGCAGATAATGACAGGGCAGGGGTGAAGGGTAGAAAGGCCAAGCTGCAGAAGAGAGATGAGTGTGGGGGAAGGGGGGAGCTGTTGCAAGAACTCTGTCACCTCCACTGTTCCCTGTGACCCCCTCATTGGCAGCCTCAGGCTGCATTTTAACTTGTGTTTTTCTGTTACTCCCCTCATTCCTTCATCACATTTTGTTTGAGCACCTTCTTTCATTCTGGGGGGTAATAGTTTTCCTTTGCTTTGCTTCTTTTTTTAAATTCCCGACAATTTCATACATATACATTTACAGTGCATTTTGGTCATTTTCACCTCGACAATCACCCTTTCTAACCCTTCTACTCCTGTTGAACCCGTTTTCTTCCCAACAGCCCTCTCCACTCTCATGTCTTGTTTTGTTGGGGTTTTTTTGTGACCCACTAGCTTTAATTAGGCTTACTAATTACTAATAACTCATGTGCCTGAGCAGGAATAGGGAGGCTGTTGCCTGAAACATGGGCAGCTTTCCCCTTTAACTGATGCACCACATGAGGGCACAGGCCCTCCCTCCCTTAGCTTCTCTTCCATTCACAGAACAAAACAGATACTACAATGACTCTGGAGGCTGGAGTTGGTGACACCTGATGTTGCCCACACCTAGTACCTTCAGCATATTTGCCCTGTTGCCTTAGCCAGAGAGGGTGCTGGTGTGAAGGAGGCCTCTGTAGTCCCTGGGAGTCATAGATCAGTCCACGTTTATAGCAAAGATGAATGGGCACCCAGCATCCAATCTTGAGTGCTCGGAGCACCATGGGCTCAGCTGTGTGGGAACATGGAGGTGGTCTACTGTCTACTCTGTGCTCCCCGAGCTCCAGGCCCTGCTGAGCTTCACACTGTGGCCAAATCTGGAGGAGTATGAAGGCAAAAAATAGATCAACCCTGAGCCCATGACAGCACACAGAATTCAACCACCATATCATCTCTCCATCCTCCTGTTCTTCTACTTCCCCCTCTTCCCCTCTTCCCTCTTCCTCCCTCTCCCCTCCCTTCTTTCCTCGCTGCTTCTCTCCCTCACTCTCTCTCATATCACACACACACACACACACACACACACACCACATCCCTCTCTTCCATTCCCCCTCTCCTACCCTCTCCCCCTCCCCCTCTCTTTCCTTGCTAAATATGCAACTATTTCAGCCATAAGCCTATCAGACCACAGGACTAGAACCCTCCTAGGTACATCTTCTCATTTCTATCACGGACTTGAACCGTGCAAAGGCACAATGGCAGACAAACCAACCCAGCCCCCAGGGGCATGGCATAAAACCACACCTGCCATTCCAGAAATCCTGTTACTGAAAATGCTCAGAAGAGCTTCAGTTTACACAAGCCCCTGAGCAGGGCTCATGAGCATGTGACGGAAGGCCAGCTCATTCAGTAGTAACTGCCGACTAATTCAGACAGTAGCAGACACTTTCTCTACCCAATAACTGTGACAAAAGCAGACCGGTCAACTTAAAGGAGAAAAGGCACAGTTGACTTGAGGCCTCAAAGGTTGTTTGAGTCACAGTTGATCAGCCTCAGCCCTGTTGAATCAGGGTAAGGGAAAAACATGGCGGAAAGTGCGCCATGAAATAAGACTGCACAAGAATCTCTTTGTGAAGTGGGTGGGGGGTGACAGTTCTGGGGACAAGATATATCCTCCCTTTGTGCACCCCAGTCAGTACCCTACTTCCTACAACCCCCTACACACAGCCCATCCAGGCTTTATGCATTGCCGAGGTTAGCCCCCTCATGAGCCCTTAGCACCACCATCTAGGTACCAACCTTCAACACAGGAGCCTCTGTGGCCTACGCTTCACATCTAGAGCCTAACGATCGATGGACCCAGCACCCACACTGCGGGGAAATCTGAAGCTTTGGCTAATGGCAATGAGAAGTGGTAAGAGGCTTTGTCCCCAGCACTCTGTTTTCCCATCACAGCGCAGTGCTGAGCAATTTCCTTACCGTCACTTACCTCAGACTTTTCAACAATCCACTCCGCTCAGCCACAGTGAGGGACAAACACCTATGTGACTGTCATTCGGCCCCACTGGTCTATTAACATTGCCATGCATTTTTCTGGCATCGCATTAATTTCCAAACACAGTCCAAACTATATCAAGGTTATAGCCATGTCAAAACATGTATGGGGGCCAGCAAGATGGCTCAGTGGGTGTACCAGCCAAGACTGATAATCTGTGTTTGATCCCCAGGATTCACGCAGTGGAAAGAGAGAACTGACTCCAGCAAGCCGCCCTCTGACAGGTGTGTCTCCACTCCCCACCCCTACCCCCCATCCCCTACCCCCACCCCCCCACACACACTCATAATTACATAAGTAAATGGAGTTTTCAAAATCCCAGAAATGTGCGGGGCAGTGGTGGTATATGCTCTTAATCCCAGCACTCTGGAATCAGAGACAGGTGGATCTCTGTGAGTTCAAGGCCAGCCCAACCTGGTCTACAAAGTGAATTTCAGGAGAAGCTCCAAAGCTACACAGAGAAACCCTGTCTTGGAAAAAAAAACACTTCAAAAATGTGTCAAGGGTTACAAAGATGACGAGAACATTCACAGCTGGACATTGAAAATCATTGAGCTTCTTGGTGCTATCATGGTGCTTTCACAAAGCAAGCATTTGTTCTTGTTGCTAAGCAATGTGTCTAATATCAATTTTATTCCATAATAGGCCAATTAAGAAAAGGGCAAGTGGAAGGCTTAGAAATAATAACTTAAGAAAGCAAGTAGTGTGAGGAAACTAAGCTCACTCTCCCACAAGAACCACAACAAAATACTAACCAGGACAGCAGGCAGGTGCACTCAATAAACCTGTTTGTTGTTTTTGGTTTAGTTTTGGTTTAAGGGTTTTCCCCCCCCAAAGCTTGGGTGTTTCTTTGTAGCAATTAACAGTCTACGTGGCTCCCACTAAAAGTATTTACCTCAAGAATTTTTGTGAAGGTTTTCTTTTGTCAGACAGAATTAGGGTGAGAAAGCGAGCAACATACCCAGGTTAGTGGTACTGGTGTATTCCAGAAGTTCTAGAATTGAGAACGTCACACCGTTCCTGTTTCTCTCCTGTAATCCTTATGATGACAGCACTCATTCTCACATTACCATACCATTGAGTCAAAGCTAAGGTATCATTAACTTTTCTCAGTGTTGTGACAAAAAGCCAGACAAAAGCAACTCACACTATGAAAGGCCTGGTGGTTAAGGCAGGAATGTCAGGCAGCTGGTCACACTGTCCCCATATCCCAGAGGCAGAGAAGAGACTGGAAGGGGGCTGAACTTCCTGCTTCCAGTGACCCACTTCCCCCGGGAAGCCCCTCTGTTCACAGGTCCCCAAGTGTTCAAACACATGTGTGCACAATTTCACACTCAGACTACAGCACTGAAACAGTCTGGTATTTCCAAGCTAGTTTCCACATTGAAAACAGCTCCAGAGACATCTAACTATGAAGATAATACTCCTAAGACATACTCATTAAGCAGTAGGTTAAACCCTAGAGGAGTGTGGGTAGACCCTTGTTGAGAAGGATACAGCAGCAGCAGCAGCAGCAGTTGAAATTAACAATAAAGAGGTGACATTTGGCCTCATGGGAGACTTCCAGTGTTTAATCTCCAGAGCGAAAACTGAAGGTCCTGTCTCTTATCTACCATGTTTTCCTACTTGTCCATGGCCTCTCAGAGGTTTCCAGTCTTCTGCCAGTGACATACACAGAGCGTTAGCTGTCTGTGCTGATGAACATCCTCTCTGTCATCCTCAGCCATCAGCAGCTGCAGACAGACGTTTCTGTTTTCATCTCCTATGGTCGTGAAGAGCATTCAGATGTAGCTTTAAGTGCTCTTCCCTTTTAAGTTAGATTCAAATGCTGTAAGACAATGGTAACCATTAGCTGTTACTCTATCAACGTCCGAGGGACTGAGATGAGCCCCTAGCTTTAATAGTTATCAAAACTGCAACTTCTACTGTGGACCTTTCATCTGAAGTCAACCCCCACCTCCCCACCACCTAACCCCAACCCCCAGTCCCTTCCCAACCCACCCCTACTACCACCCACTGCTGAAGGCTGCAGTCTTAAAGCCTTGAAGCTTTGCTTTTTGGATTTGCCTGTCTCCTGTTTTGACAACCTTGTGTTTGCTATATCCTAACTGTAGATTATTCCTTTCTAAAAACTGTATGTGTTTATGTGTGTGAGCATGTGTGTGGGTGTGTACTCGGAGGCCAGAGTTCAACACTGGGCATCTCCCACAATTTCTTCTCTGGCTGATTTTTTGAGACAGGGTTTTTCACTGAACCTGGATCTCACAAATTCAGCAAGATGGGCTGAGCAGCAAGCCCTGAGGAACCTCCTATCATTGCCTCCCCAAAGCTGAGATTACAAACACACGTCTCCTGAGACTGGTTTTTTTAATGTGTGTGCTGGTGATCCAGACTCAGACCCTTATGCTCGCACAGCAAGCACCTTATCCAGAGTGATATCCCCAGTGACCCGCCCCCAGACTTGCCTTTTCTTTATTGTTTCTGTCCTTGGAAATGACTAACACCTGCCACTCAAGGTTAGGCTGAGAACTACCTCCAGAAGTCTCTTCCTTTGGTGTCATTTTTTTTGTTTGTTTGTTTGTTTGTTTGTTTTTCAAGACAGGGTTTCTCTGTATTGTTTTGGAGGCTGTCCTGGAACTCACTCTGTACACCAGGCTGGCCTCGAACTCACAGAGATCCGCCTGCCTCTGCCTCCCAAGTGCTGGGATTAAAGGCATGCGCCACCAACGCCCAGCTCCTTTGGTGTCATTTTTATGGGTGTCTTTACATCCTGTGTTATCTGGACCTACACACAGATGAGATACACTGTTAGCTTTGTCGCTGGTATATTCCCCATAAGAGGGGACAGAAGCATAGTTCATTGATTCTCCTTTCTCTAATACAGTAACTACTCTTCCATAAATGTTTGCTGATTTCCCACCAGGGTCCCAAAGGATGAGATTGTCACAATGTGCCCCTTGTGCTTTTTGTGGTTGCTTATTAGTTCTCAAGCACCACAGGATTGCTTTGAGGGTCATGCAGTCATTTCAGAGCAGAGAAACTATTCCTTCAAGAGGGACACATTGGATCTGTTTTAATTAGGGAAAAGTATCATACAGGCGACATCAGGCATGGTATATGTCTACTTCTGTAGGACTCCAGCTATTCCTTTGTCCTTTCTTTGAAATTTTGATTAGATTTCGGGGGGAGGGCTGTTTTATTTTGCTTGAGACAGGGCCTCATATAGGCCAGGCCTTGAATTCCCAGTCTTCTGGCCTCCACTTCAAGGACTCCAGGTGTGCACCAACACACTCCTTCCCTGAGTCAACTGAAACATTATTTTTCAGGCTCCTGTTTTCCACTCCTCTCCAGAGCTGCACCCTGAACTTATTGGGTCCCACCCAGCCCCTCAGTCAAACTCTTCTTGTTGCCATCAGTGACAAAGGTTCCAAGTTCCCACTTTCTCTAATAAGGAACTGACCAGCTGGGAAAGAGGCAGCAATCGCCCTCTGACAGGTGTTTCCCACAGTTTCCTCCCCAAGTGGTTCTGTCCCATGGCCCAGATTCCGCGGGAGACAGATTCCCTCACTTTGCAGATTTAAGGCTTCCCTGAAGTTTCTTACAAGAGAACACTGCATCTTTCTACCTCCCTTCCTCGAGGAAAAATCTGGGCCTTAATAACTGTTTTAAGTGAAAAAGAAAAGTGAATACACCTATCATAAATTCTTCTTCAACTACACTCAACCTAGAGTCATGGCTTTGGTTTGATTTGGGATTTAGTTTTGGTAGGTTTGGAGGCAGAACCTTGCTATGTAGTCCAGGCTGACCTCTAACTGCCTCAGACTCAAGAGGGCTGGATTCGAGCAGAAGCGAGGGGTCAGCCTCTTCTTAGTATCTGTACGCCACTAGTTTGTAGAGAATGCAGATGAGAGGCTAAGGAGATGGGTCTGGAGGTAAAATGTCTGTGCCATATACTAAAGAATATTAGTCCCATGCCCAGAACCCACGCAAACCCAGTCTGGATGAACTGGTGAGCTTGACTCAGGGAGAGGTCCTGTTTCAAAACCTAAGGTAGAAAATGACTAAGAAAGACACCTAATGTTGACTTCTGGCTTCCATATTCTCGTGTACACACATAAAACACACACACAATGAATCAATAATTTTTAAAAGAATGAACCTGTCTAGAACAGCAAGGACTAGGCTTATGCTACATCATGAATTTGTGATCTCTCCTAGAACAGATATTGCTAATATGTTTTGCAGTGAGGAAATCATGGTACCTAGATTTAGAATGGTCTATTTGATCAAGCAGTAACTCCTAGGATGAACACTGACATCTCCGAGGTGCTCAGCCTTTTAGCCTGGACAGGTACCTCCCCTCAGAGACATGCATGAGAGTTAAATACACCAGGAATAATTTGCATCATTCACATGAAGGATTCGTATCTGGGCTCTTTGCATTCTGAAGTCAGAATCACTTGGCATTCCTGCAGCTAGTCAAGTCTCTGAAAGTTTTAGGGGAATTTTCTCTTCAGAACACTATCAGATGTAGGCAAGAACTGACAGAGTTAAAGGCCTTTCCAGCACATTCCCTTAGGACACACCTTTTTGTTTTTAAGCAGCATGCCATTATTCTGAATATTCACAAGCACGAACTACCGATGTACACTGAAACTCTGTGTGAACACTGCTTTGATCCTGTGTACAGTGGCCTAGGAACCTGAAATCAGAAGGAAAATAAGTGACAAGGAGTGCCAGGGGACCATGTTTTACAAATCAGAACTCCCATGCAACCTCTAGACGAGTTCACGGGGCACCATGTTAGCATAGAAGGCCTAGCAATGCTGTTTCCATAACTCATGGTTTTAATACCTAAAACATGCAACAAAACCATTCATCTAGATGTTAGTATTCTCTACTTTTCATCATCACAGACTGCATCCTGGTTTGCAATACCTGTAATATGAGCATTCAGGATGAATAAAATGAAGTATAATAGTACATCAAAGCCAACTTTTTCCTGGGGACTGGAGAGATGACTCTGTGGGTAAAGCACTTATGACAG